CAACACGATATCTGGTTGGTTAGCCATCACCAGTTTGTCAGTCTGGATCTTGAAGTCCCACAGGATCTTAGCTCGGTCATTTTCAACTCTTTTAGGTGGTGTCTTCAATTTTGACCTTGGGTCTTCCAGCTCATACTCATGGCAGATGTTCCTGTACACTATTCCAGCTAACTGGTTATGGCGTTCCATGTACGCACTTCCTGCCTGCATCTTACACCCTGCTGTTATGTGCTGTACTGTCTCAGGGGCATCCTTGCACAGTCTGCACCTGGGGTCCTGGCTGGTGTGGTAGACCACACTAGCCTCTATTGATCTTGTACTGAGTGCCTGTTCTTGTGCCGCCATGATTAGTGCTTCTGTGCTGTCCTTTATTCCAGCCTTTTCCTGCCACTGGTAGGATTTCTTGACATCAGTCACTTCTTCTATTTGTCTGTGGTACATCCCGTGCAGCGGCTTGTCTCTCCATTAAGTTTCTTCATCTTCCTTGTCCTCACCCTGGGGTTTCTGCTGCCTGAGGTATTCACTAAGCCCTTCATCTTTGGAGGCCATCGTCCTAATATATTCCTGGGTCTTTGTTATTTCGTCCTGGACAGTGGTCTTGACACTCACTAGCCCTCGGCCTCCCTCGCTACGCTTAGTGTACAGTCTCAGGGTGCTGGATTTGGGGTTAAACCCTCCATGCATTGTGAGGAGCTTTCTTGTCTTGATGTCAGTAGCCTCTATCGCCTCCTTTGGCCAGTTTATTATACCAGCGGGGCATGATGACATCTGCAATGTGGCCTCGTAGGCTTTCTTGTAGTCAATCCAGGCGGTGCACAGATTGGTCTGCCTGGTCATGCAGTCTCGAGTGACTGCTCTATCAACCAGTAGCTGGTGCTTGGCTCCCCTGGTATTACTGCCCATTCCCTTCTGGGCCCTGTGGATTGAGTTATGTGCCTACTCATCTTAGCCACTACGATGCCTGACCGGAGCTTCTATGTTGTGCAGAGGCAGGTTATTGGCTGGTAGTTGCATGGGATTGTTCCTTTCTGGGGATCCTTCATGATCAGGACTGTTCGTCCTTGGGTTAACCATTCTGGGTGAGTCCCATTCATCAGCAGTTGGTTCATTTGTGCTGCCAGGCGTTCATGGATTGCACATTAGTTTCTTCAGCCAGTGGGTGTGGATCATGTCAGGGCCTGGTGCTGTCCAGCTCTTCATACCTGCCACTCTTTCTTGGATGTCTGATGTTGTATTGGTTACTGGATCTTGTTTTGGGAGACTGTTGTGATCTGTTCTTAGATCCACTAGCCACTAAGCATTGGTGTGGGATGCCTCTTTCTCCCATATGTTCTTCCAGTAGTGTTCAGTCTCAGCCCTGGTTGGATCTGATCTTGTGTTATTCCAGCAGACTTTCAGAGGGTACTGTGTCACTTAGCCTTGGCAATCTTGCCCTTATGTTGAGTGATTCTGTGCCGTAAGGGCTTGTTGTTATTGTGGGGATAATGATGATGACATCGCCCCTCTGACCTGTTGTCCTGGCTCCCCCTTGCTGTAGCATATTTGTTGTACCTCATCAATCTGTACTTGTGACAGGAGTTGCTGTTTGCGGATGTTAGAACACTGAGCTACGAGTTGTTTCTTTGTCAGTGTTGATGATGGGTTTCGATCTCTCTCTCTAGATTTATATATATATATATATATATATATAAATCTAGAGAGAGAGAGGGTTTCGGTGGTGCATCTACCCGGTCAAGATACAGAAGGGGGTCGCGTTGGCTAAAAAGTTTGGGAACCGCCGGAATAGAATGAAATCAAGTTCCAGTTCAACCAGGAAGACAGAGACGAAGGATCTTTAGGCTTCATTTAATTCACAACTCTTTCTCTCTCTCTCTCATTCAGTTTTCAATTGCAAACATAGACTGTATAAAAAGAGTGGACGTAGTCATCGTGACATCACCCATTGGTATATCGACTGCCGTTTTGAAGCCTCGAGTTTGGCCGATGTTGAGTTTTTGCAACCAGCGCCACCAGACCTGACCATATTTGGACAAGACTGTGGAGCCACTGGCTCTGTGTGGAGCTAGTTAGCTCATCTGTAATTCACATTAACTGTCATTTGAACCGGGATGATAATTTTGTCTAGCGAACAACAGTCTTAAAACTAAATGTACTCACCAGAGAAAGTGAACAGCCAACTCCTAATAAGCTGAATAATAAGCATAATATTTTCAATGGCGCTGGTTAAATTTACACAGTGCCGTGGGTATGAGTCACTCTACCATGGAAGTGACTTGTCAATCACAGGGTAGTCCCATCCTAAAGCATACACATCATGTTGTATTGAACACCTGAAACTAGCAACTGAGACCATAAACTCATTAGGAAAATGTTTACTGAGGTAATAAATCAGGTGAGAAGTAGGGTCATTTTACCATTGTTTCGAATGGAACCGGACTTCTTTTTGCAACCAGAGGAGTCGCCCCGTTGGCCGTAGAATGCAGGTTTAAGGGACTTCTGCATTCGCCTCACTTCTCAGACCCGGGTTTAGTGTTAGGGTTAATCCGAAACACAACCGCTTTCATACAGAGATCCCAGAATAAACATTAAAACACTGGCACTGAAGCTGTAGCTTTTCACACAGGCGTGTTCAGGCTCCGTTACTTCAACGCTCCCGGCTCAGAGGCAGATCAACACCAGCTCATTCAGAGCAGCAAGCCGGCATATTGGCACAATACTCCTGGGGAAAAAAGCAGTGTGACAGCGGCTATAGACAGACAGGGAGACAGACACACATGCTGGAAACTCAGGTAAACTCCCACTGCAACGTTACAGTAATATTTTTATCAGAGCACAACTAAATGTATTGGATGTAATGTATTGATAACGAAACGTTTAGTGAGCTGGACTGAATATTAAAATGAGATTGCTGTCACACTTAGATGAACAGTTAGAAATGACTAGTAGGGAAAGTCAGCCATTTAACTTCTGTGGTGTCGTTTGCCAGGATCATCGATACCGCTGTGTTTGTTGAAAATTCTGCTGAGTTTCTCTGATACTCCAGACACAATGTTGCTGCGTTTGATCGTCTTTTCCTCAGTTCTGTTCCTTCTCTCTGGCTTGTGCACTTGTTGGTATGTGGTCTGCTCTGTGGTGCAGGGTTTTAATGACCCCTAGCTTATGCTCCAGTGGGTGGTGGGAATCGAAAAAGTAAGTATTGGTGTGTGTGTGTGTGTGGTTTCCTGTAAACCCCAATTTGCAGGCAGGTTTATATATATATATATATATATGTGTGTGTATGTATAAGCCTAATAAGGACAAAAGAGCTTTAGATTTAGAATAACAGTGTGTAAATGGTATATCCAAAAATGTATTATTATGAAAAAAATGTAATTTGATGCAAATGCTTAATTTTGTGTTTGCAGTTTTGGAATTGTGTGTAGAGTTTTGAAAAAAGAGACAGTTTTAAAAAAGTGTGTAAGCTGTTGTAAAAAACCTTAATATTAATATATGATATATTTATATTTTAATGGAGGGGGGGGCTAAGACACCCCCCGCCCCCTACATGTGAATGGAGAGTACTGGCACATATTTTTTTCCACTTCTGCTTAGGAGGAATAATTCAAAATGTTTCTGAATCCTTCCTGTTCAACTTTTTAATGTATTGTGAGTGTATTCAACGATGTATTATAAACTGAACAGAATCAAACTGTGAGCTGTCTTTATCACTACTAATTAGTAGTGGATAAGGACAGGACTTATCCTGGCCCAACCACTACTGAGGCAAAAATCTGATATTAAAAATTTAATAAAAAAAATATCTACCTTAATGTTGGCTTTCTAGCATGCATTTCAGTCAGAGCATGGCCAGATTAATGGTGCGTTCCATTTGACATGGGAAGTCGGAATTTCCGAGTTCGAGGTTCAAAATTTCAAAGGGAATGCCCCCTTAAGTCAGCACTGCCCCGACTTTGTGATCCAAGATGGCTCTCGTCGTATCAACGGTTATTGAAATATTGTTTATTAGCACTATACTTGTGACTCATAGAAATATTCGTACACAAAGTGCTGTCCAGCTGCTGTCTGTGGACATGTTGCTACAGTGTTTAGTATGAGTAAATACCGCACAATGCGTTTTTTTAATCAACCGGCGAATCTATGGCTAACCTGTCTATTTGTAAACAATGGCTGGCTGAGCGAGGCTTTCCCGACTTGGAACGCTGTCAACTCGGGTGTGATGTCATTCCCAGCTCCGACCTCCGACTTCCAAGGTAAATGGAACGCAGCATAACATGTTAGGAGGACCCTGGCCAACAAAAGAAGCTAAAACTGCAGGGCCCGCATTAGCTGAAGTGGAGGAATTTCCTTAGTAGGCTTAATTTGGGTAACAGGTGAGGTACAGGTCATAACAGGTCACAATCGGGGCCACTAGCAAACCCAGAATTATTATGATCCTTGACCCCTTAGCCATAGCTCTTAGCCTCTGTCTCTCTCCCTGTCAGGGTGATGACAGCTGGCTGATAGGGAGACAAGGTGGCTCAAGGCAGATTATAGTGTTAAGTCTCGTATGTTTTCAGACTAACTGTCTGAATACAATTCAGGAGACCTTTAAATTCTAAAGTTACTTAGGTAATGCATTTCAGTCTAACATCCAGCTGGTGGCTGTTCTGCTTTATGCCAGCAAGGAAAGACATGGTATGGCATAGAAAAGGGATACATATTGTGGACCAAGATGGATCTGTGAGATTTGGTTGGGTACTAAATTGTGTCCGCACTCTGTATGCTGTTGCCAGTCTCCCTGGCTGGGCTTCAATAAACAATGCCTTGTGAGTCCTGAGTCTCAGAGACCTTATTCAACACACCTGACACCTGGCTCACATTTTTTTCCATAACTGTTTATATTGTCCTTGAGGTTCAAATTCCTTTACAAATGCAATAATTCAATTACTAGTCGCACACTTTGCCCAGTTGATTAACCAGCCTTTTGTGACAGTGTTTGTGTGTGTGTGCGTGTGTCTTACCACAGCAGGGGAGTTGACCACAGCCAGATTGTAGCCATAAAGCATAGAGCTCCCAAAGGAAGTAAGGAATGCCACCGCCAACAAAGAGCCGGTCAGTTGCTGTTGCAGAGGGAGAGAACAATGTGTTAAGAAGTGCAGAATACTAAATGTAGGCTTTATCCAGAGAGCAGGGTGTAATGATTCCTTGTGACTCAAACAAATGAGACCTTGGTGAAGACTCGTGGCTTTTATCTCACACCATTTGTATTGTAAGTGCTAATGTTTTTCTAAAACAAGCACAATGTTGTCCTATGATAACCTTGCTGGAAGTGATGCGCATTGACATTGAGGTCTTTCACCATACTACCATAATATGCTCGAAATAGTGCCCTTTCTTTGCTTTGTGTCATAAAGAAGTCAATCTCTGTCAAAGCAGGCTTGAGAAAATCATGCCTAAATTGATCCATTCAGACCAAACTGACCTCACTGTAGTCAGACAGCTATTACAAGTACAAAAATTGTCGCTCTATGCGGATGATCTCATCCTCTTTCTCTCTGTGTGTATATATATATATATATATATATATATATGTATATGTATGTATGTATGTATGTATGTTATATATATATGTATATGTATGAAATACCAAGGGCTGAAAGAGGAGCTAGAAAAGATGTGGAAAGTAAGAGCAACAGTGGTGCCAGTGGTAATCGGAGCACTGGGGGCTGTGATCCCCAAACTGGGAGAGCAGCTACAGCAGATTCCAGGTAAAACATTAGAGGTCTCTGTCCAGAAGAGTGCAGTCCTAGGAACAGCTAACATACTGCGCAGAACTCTCAAACTCCCAGGCCTCTGGTAGAGGACCCGAACTTGAGGATGACACATACCACCCCGCAAGGGGTGAGAGGGGGATTTTTATATATATATATATATATATATACATGGATGTATATAACAACATAATAATAAATATAAATATTGTAAATTGAAGGAATGTAAGAATTAAAGGGGTAGGAGTACATAAGTTTTACTTCTTCCTACTCCTTTTTCGCACGTGATAGAAGTATGTTTAAGAAAGAAGGGTACTTTGTTTGCTGCTCATCTGTTGTTTTTTTCTCCTATGTTTTAAACATTGTTTTATTTTTATTTTTTTATATACTTTCTCTTGCATGTTCGAAATAAAGATTTCAATTCAATTCAATTCTCTGACCCATGTACTTCCATACCAAGTGCTCTTGATCTTATTACTGAGTTCAGGCGAGAGTCAGGATTTAAGTTGAATTTGACCAAAGTGTCTTATTCCCCATAAATGATAAAGCACGACAAATGTCCTTTCAGAACTTCCCTTTCTCTGTTAGTAAGAATAGTTTCACTCAGTCGGATCTCAGGGGTATGACTGCTGGTACTGTAGCTTATTTGGTAGGTTGCACTAGCAAGTGAAGCAATATTTATTTTAACATTAGGTCACTATGCTCCCAAACAACAACTCAGGTCTGCATAGATTTATTTTTGGGTTAAACAAACATTTTGATTGAAGCACACTGACACAGACTTTGATGTCTTTTATTTTTATTATATTGGGTTTTTTTTTACCTATTATGTCTAGTTAAACCTTGTGCTTATAGACATCTGAAGAGAAAAATCAGTTGTTCAGTTGAGGTCTTAATTTGGAATGAAGCTTGAAATTTGCTTGTTGGCATTGTTCACATTCCTCACTGCAACCAAACCAAAGGGCATGGCTGGCTGCCAGTTCTGAAGGACCTGAAAGGCAGAAGACAGAAACCTTTTCCCCACAGCGTGATCAGTATCTAGTGAAGAAATAAATATCCAGCTAAACTTTAAAAAGTCAAGTTATAATCTGTGAGGCTAAAGCCTGCATTGTGAAAATTATGTGAATGTTGGCTAGAATGGTAATTCAAGGCAGAGAAAGACTGGTGAACAGGCACATGACATGAAATCAGAGTGACTAAATAGAAATAATCAAGTTTATGGGAGGGAGGTACAAAATATTGTTGAACAATAGCTCATCATCAAACAACAACATTAATAAAAGTCTACTATGGTAACTACTACCACACATGCATTGTATATATATAACCTGTGGGGAAAATGCTTTTTAAATCATCAAACTTTTCAAGTGATTTTTTATCAGATTTTACTACTGATTCTATCCATGCATTTTTTTGTCCCGGTGACCAGTGAAAATGCAGTTATGGCTCTCTCCTCATTCATTTAGATAGGGTTAGGGTCTCATTTATAAAACTGTACGTGGAAAACACTCCTAAACGTTGCATATGTACAAAAAACAGGATTTGCGTATGCACAAAAATAGTCTGATCTATAAAACAGTGCGTAAATATGTGATCGACCTCCTTGTCCAACCCCTTAAATGCCTATAGTTGTCTATAAATGGTCAGTGAAACGCCCCTCATTAATATTAATACGTACTGATTGCATAAAGATAAGGACTGCAAATTCTGACAGAAACGCTACAAAACAAAATTTAACTCAGTGTGACACTGACATTATTTTGGTGAAGCTGAAGCATGTTGTTTGGTGGGTAAAACACGCACTTACACACAACGCTTGTGCCAGGAGGAAAGGGGGCACCGGAGCTCCACCCCTTTATAACCGATCAGCAGGAAGCTGAGGGGCATCCCTCTTGAGTAGTGACGGAGGTGACGGGAAGACCCAGGTACTAATTTGGATTTCCCCATTTGAAAAGAGATTAAACCAAATGCATTCCACCTGTGAATTGCATGCAATTCAATTTACATTCAATACCGCATGCAAGTATTAATATGATTCCAGATTAAACTGTACAACGTATTGGAGGCGTTCTTTTGGAGAAACGTATCTGTTTGTGTTTATTATCCTAAAACATGGTTCTTGTTGTTGGCACTGCAAATGATCTTAAATGATGTTTTTTAACGCACACTTAAAGAAAATCACCCAAACGGGTGTTTCTTTATTGTGAAAGGCTTTAAGCCTGTAATACTATAATATTTCGATTTATTTTACACAATAGTATTTATTCCAAACCGTTTCATCCTTCTGCCATGTAAGTCGCGGTTTCTCATTTCTCCAGTTTTTGTGTGTACGCATGGTTCAGAGTTTGTGTGGTGCACCGCAGATTCTCCCGTCAAGTTTGTTTTTTATAGAGCACAACCTTACTTGGGAAGTGGCGTATGCACGTTTCCAGCCCTGTTTTGTACGTACCTTTTATAAATGAGGCCACTGGTCTTGTTAGTCTGAAATAACTGACCGAAGCCATTACCAAGTGGTAGGCAGGTAGGTAGGTTGTTTGTCACAATATAACAAGTTATAGAGTGAAATTGTATTTTGTAACTCCCTTCACAAAGGCAATCACAAAATGCTGTGAGTATTCACTTGCAACTAAATACAGTCTATGGGGACCTTAGCTTGACTTCCCGTGATTACCTGTCACATAAATAATAATATGAAGGATGAGACTTATCTGAAGAAGGTGTGGTGTATAACATATGTGCGGAAAACTAGAATAGGTTGCATCTACTGTATTTAACTCTGACGAATTGGGGAAATATTTCACTCAGGTCAGGTCTAAGCAAGGTGACTAATGCTCGGAAGCACTTCTCTCATTCTGTCACACCGTACACACTTGCCAGACCTGCTGCACCTCACCATCATGTGACTACAGATCTACTGTCATGGCCTATGTAGGCCTACCCAGAAAGCCTTGCGATCTGAAAAAGTTGTTGAAGGGAGTTTAATTGAATTATGAGAAACTGAATTTTTAACTCCACCATGTTAAATTCAGCTTCAAACCATTGGATTTCAATCCGGGAAATGCAATTTCATATTTGGCATACAATATTACGTTGGAACATTTCAAATTCAAAACACTTAATTCAGTTCAAAACTGTTAAATTCAATTTCAGTCTGTGAAATATAACTTCAAATTCAAAGTTATTACATTCAGATTCAATTCATGCTACAATAAAGGGACTCCTATTATAGTACTAAACTACTAAAGGAGCCTATTATGGTTATAGCATTGTTAAAATAAGGCCAAAACATGATATGCGTGGATTGTAACACTGATAAACTCAGCAAGAATGACGTCAAGCAGCCTGAGCTCGAAACACTAATTAACCTTTTATAAATTCTTCTCCAGTTTGATTATGAATGAGTCGGTATATTTGGTTATTTAAAACGTATGTATTTTAAACCTGGGCCCTATTTTCACATTTTGTCACATATTTTGGTGTCGAAATGACTAGTAGGTACAAAATGTTTCTGAATCTCTGCAGTACCAACAGGCTCAAACTGTTTACCCAGGTCTAAAAATCACAGAAAGGATCCCTACAAGGGACTCCAGGTGACACCCTTTGGTTTTCACATGAAACAGAATGTGTGTGTCGGGGTAACATTAGGAAATAAAAACTGTGGTAACGTGAGACACCAAATGCGAAACGTTGGTCAAGCCAGCCGCCGTGTGATTTCTGTTGCGCCTAAAGCGTTATTATGGGTTGGACGGGGTGCGAGTGAGCCGAAGGTCCTGAAAGATACATATGCGTTTTGTGTCTTTGTGATTAAATGAACACAAATACATACCACGGTAATATAATAATATTACTAATGATAACAATAATGATACTAGAAGTTTTACTAATAATATAATTTATTGTTATTTGTTATTAATCCAAATATAAAATGGAACTTTTCTTTGTTATTTTGTGAACATAATATATATGAAATTTGACCTTTCACCCGTGTAATTCCTCAGCAGTTAGATAAGCGTTATCACGGCTTCTCCTTCCTGGTGTCCTCTTCTGTTACTGGTACAAATCATAATGTTTTACTGTACCACCTATGAGATATAGCACTCTAAAAATCCCTCCAACAGTGAAAATTAAACAAACAGTTAACATTTCCCTGAACTTTGACCTTTGGTCATAACAATTCCTTAATAGGTGACATCCCAGTTGTCATATCATCTCCTTCCTAGTGTCCTCTACTATCACTGGTACAATTCTAAGGTTTTCTGTGCAAACTATGAGATATTGCACTCTAGAAATCCATCCAACAGCAAAAGATTAAACGGACAGTTTTCATTTCTCTGAACTTTGACCAAAACAATTCCTATATCTCATAGGTGGTACAGTAAAACATTATGATTTGTACCAGTAACAGAAGAGGACACTAGGAAGCTGAAACCATGATAACACTGATCTAACTCCTGAGGAATTACACGGGTGAAAGGTCAAATTTCATATAAATTATGTTCACAAAATAACAAAGAGAAGTTCCATTTTGTATTTGTATTAATAACAAATAACAATAAATTATTAAAACTAGTATTATCAATATTTTTATCATTAGTAATATTATTATATTACCGTGGTATGTATTTGTGTTCATTTAATCACAAAGACCATCACAAAATGTGTATTTATCTTTCAGGACCTTCGGCTCACTCGCACCCCGTCCTTACCATAATAACACTGGTTTAGGCGCAACAGAAATCAGACGGCGGCTGGCTTGACCAACGTTTCGCATTAGGCGGCTCACTTAACCACAGTAAATAAAGTCCCGAAACTGCTTGCTACTCCCTCTCCCTACCTACTTCCACTCCGTCTGCGCGTGCATGCGGAGGGTCCGCCACATTGAGTGCCATCCGTAACCAACGAGGGTGAAGTGGTAGTGGGTTGCTAAACTCTCCAACGCCGAGTGAGCACTGGTGCGGGCTTGTTGAAGGTGTGTAACACCCTTTGCTGCACGATTGGGGACCTTTCTTTTATTGTGAGTTCCGTATTCCAAAACTACTCTAATATTTCATATCACCATTCACAGGTTAACAACACAGCCCAATGTTAGGCTGTATTGTGTTTAATAAGAAAATGCTCGTGTCTGATAGACAACAGCCTACAACTGTTGTTTTTATTGAATCGTATTAATATGAAAATCTTCATCCAAAATAAATAGCCTACATTAAACGACAGAATGGTAGAACATGGCACAACTAGATAGCCTACACAGGGGTATCAGGCAGGCTAACAAGCAATGAAATGTTGTAGGCCTATTTGTGAATGTAGGCTGTTTTTTAAACAAGATAAAGAGGTTCAAATAGGCGTTTCTTTACAATGAATATCAATCTTTTCATAAAAGAATATAATAGCCTAATTCTTTTATTCGTTAATATAAAGTCATAGTAGCCTATAATATCCGAAATCTAACCAAAATAATTTGATTCAAGAACAAACACTAAATAAGTGACAAATGCTTTCAGTTTTCCTCATTTTTCAGTGTTCCTCAACATCAATCCTGAAGTTCGTCCGAAAGTTGGCCTCTGTGTTTAAACCCTACGCGGATTAGAATGCTCGATTTGGCTGTGGAAGAGGAAGTGGCGAGGGTCCAGATTCGGAAAGGCCCTATGTTTTGTCCCCCTCACTCTTCTCCGGCGATTTCGGAATTTGGCTCATAGATGAGGCGGTTTTGTGAGTGACCAGTCAATCAATCACACAGTCCGCATCAGACATAAACAAACGGTTGAAACACGGACAAAAATCATGTGGGCCGATAGAAAACATGCACGCAACGCAAAGGTGGTGCTGAAACGTTAAGGGAGAGAAAAAAAGAGTTAGCTCGCGGCAGGTGCTGCAAAGTGCTTACCTGAAGACAGCAGTGAGGCCTGCAGCAGGATGGGTAGTAACTTTTTACAAATAACGCAAATTTGCAAAATACATAAATAAATAAAATAGCCTAAATCATTGGTGCCGTTTCACGTTGATTTTTTAAAACTGTAGCCTACTTTCACTCTTTACTCCATTATTGTCTTTGGGCCAATAATCTACTTTTAATTTTGCTACATTTTCCATTCATACCTTCATAACCTAACCAGTCTGTATTCTGCATTAGGCTTCGTTAACCGAAATGAGCTGGCACCCAGGCTGTGTGCGCGCACTTACGCAGAAGAGCGCCTGCTCTGGGGCGCTTGTCACAGAGCTGGGCTCTGATTTAGAGTTAGAAAATCAGCCAAATACCTTTTCAGTTTAAGGCTTTATTGTTCTACTAACTGAAATCCAGGGAGCGCACACCATGGCACAGGTGGCCGTGTTAGAAAACAGCTCTTTAACAAGCCGGCAAGTGAAACACTTTCACTTTCCATTGATGACGCATTAAAAGCGTATTTAGTCTCTGCAGAGCAAATGTAGACTTCAGGTTGTAACATCTAAGTCACATTGGTTACTATATTTGTACTAATATACTATATATATATACTATTATTGTTTTATAGGGATGCCCGACGGTGAGTCCATAAACAGAATGTCGCGGTGAAACTTTCAATTCAATTTTCAATTCAATTTTATTTATATAGCGCCAAATCACAACAACAGTTATCTCACAGCGCTTTTCATAAAGAGCAGGTCTAGACCGTACTCTGTGATGCTATTTACAGAAGCCCGACAGTGGGGCTTATCTTGACTCACTTTCTCACTTTCACTCAGCAGCTACCAGCTGTTATTTATTCAGCAAACAATCATTTTTGAGATGCACAGAGAGAGAGAGAGAAAATATGGGTGGATAAAACAGTCCTGTTGGGAGATCTTCCTCTATGTAGGTTTACCCTGATTCAACAAAGAGCTGCTCTGGTGTTACTGCCACAATGATACTTTGCATTGTAAAGATTATGTTCATAGATGCTTTAGGAATAATCAGATTGTATTGGCTGCTTGTGTTATTGCAAAGCAAGTGGTTTGGTTGGCTACCTGTTCATATTAAAAGGGACAGGCAACAAAAGTAGGCTGGACCGCAAGCCTGATATTTTAAAGTGATTATATTATACTTTTACTTGAGTAGGTTTGTAATTTTTTTATGGGAGTAGTTGTACTTTTTCTTGAGTGAAGAGTTTGAGTACTCTACCTGCCACTGGACGGGGCACCAGTACTAGGACTGTCATGGTGAACATGAGACAGACAGCAATAGGGCAACAGATAAGGGCAATAGAAGAACAGAGTCAAAGCCAGCACAACCCAAAGCACCAGTTTATGGTAAGATTGATGATGATATGGCTTATTTAATTATTTAGTGTACTCAAAGACTCAGCTGAGTTGATTTCTTTACTATAGGAGAGTTAAACAGGTGTTCTGAAAATGTATTTTAAAGGTTCATTTAGTGATGTACTCTACTAGGAATAAAGGTCTCTAAAGACCCAGAGCCCCTGACAAAGGCTTTGTCCAGAGAGTGGGCTGATCAGTGACAAAGTCCTGGGCCACTTTTTTGCCCCTGTCTCTGACCATCTTTGGCCTTTAAAAACTTGCATCCTGAGGTGTGTATGTGTCTCTGCTACGTGTCCATAAACAATTTAATAGTAGTCAAAATGTTCACACAGAGACGAGCATCCTGCAGTATTTTAAGAGGAAGAGGACAGAGGTCACAGGAGCAGGAGTAGAGAAAACTGAGGAGGATGAGCTTGTACGTTGTATGGATAGCTACTAGACATAGTATATTCTAAAACTCACGTAGTAAAAAGACTTTGTTAGTCCAATGGCATGTCATCAGAGTTCACATTGAAGACAGTTCTGTGTTCACAAACATTTGTTGCAGGGAGAGTCAGGGCCAAGTGAGACACAGGAAATATCACAGCTCACCGGTGTAACATTAGGATATCTAAATACATTTGGGCATGCTAGTAAATATGTTCTGTTTTCAAAAGTCATCAGAAAGGAGCATTTAAGTGCTTTATTTAAAAAAAAAAAAGTGTGTGTGCGGGGGGGCATGCCCTCAAACCCCCCTAGCATTTCAGCGTCCCCCCCAGGTTCAAAGTCACTTCTACACCCCTGTTTCTGCTTCTGGTTAAAAACAAAGGGTGATCCTTTCAGTGATGATGTCAGACACCTGGTGTAACAGTCTGAGCCTGTCAGTGGCAAAGAGCACTTTTTGTGGCGGTAACTTTGACGGGCGCAATTGCGGTTTAAAGATATCAAAATTATCCTTTAACATAAAAGAAATGATTCAATGTTAACATTATAAAATACATTTTTTCTAATTTTATTTTATTTGCTAACATGTGAATTGGATCAAGTCATTATTGAATACACAGAAACGTAAGGTTGGTACAACTAACTAAAATTGACTATTACACTATGAAACTTAAAAAAGAGTCTAAATTTAATCAAGATGTTTTTTTTTTTTTTGTGGTTTTTCACCCAGGTTATACTCAAATTGGACAGTCTACTGCATATTATCCACTTTGCAGGTTTTACAGTGATAGATCTTCTTTTACATTATAGTATAATAGTGTACTTTTTACTACATTTGTCTGATAGCTTTAGCTATTAGCTATTTTCCGTGCCATTCCTGTCTAGTGATGTAACTCCAAATTTGGTGACTTTGAATGTTTGTTATAAACTGAAATTGTTCTTTAAACTAAATTAACTATTTCATTCATTAATGCAGCAGTAATTACTAACTGCAGTATTAACTTGCTAACTAACTAAACATTAATCCAGAAACATCATACATAACAGGGCTCTAGGTTTGAAAGTTGGTAGTAAACGTCATTAGCTGCTATGACCCTATGTCTAAAACAATAAGGGATCAGTCACCGATCCGATAGTCCTGGATCTGACCTGATTCATGCAGTCAGTCTGAACTTACCGATGTGATTTTCCCCGGCGATGGAATTAAAACCTCCTCAGCCATTGAAGAATTCTGTCACCAAGTCCCAAACAGGAAACAGCAAAAGGATTTCACTTTACAACGAAGAGGATCTCATAGCTGTAGCAGCAGGCGTGGTCACACAAGGTCCAGGGAACTGCAGGTTAAAGTGATCGAGCCAGTTCATGTGCCGTGCGCCGGGCCTCTCCCCCATCGAGCAGCAGTCCACAGGCCCCTAATAACAAGCCCACACAGTTCATCACATGACGGAGAGCAGCGTGACGGACTGAGAGAAAAGCCTGCTGGAAGAAATTAACTCTAAGTGAATTTACAAAGAAAGAGGCAGAGGAGAGAGGAAACAAGAGGAGAGGAGAGGAAACAAGGGGAGAGGAGAAGGGAGGGGAGAAGTGGAGGGAATAAAAGAAGAGGAGAAGAGAGGGGAGGAAACAAGGGGAGGGGAGAGGAGAGAAGAGGAGGGGAAAACAGAATGAGGGAAAAGAAAGTAGGAAACACGAAGAGAGATTAGTTCAAGTTCAACAACTTTATTAATCCCACAAGGGACAATTAGTTCTTACACATATGTAACAGCACACGAGCCCATATATACACTATGGAGAATAATAAATAAATACATTATCAAACCAATAGATTTTATGCATTTAAAAGTTTAATTGCAGAAGGTTAGTTTGTTTTAAAGTCAGGTATAGTCAAGTATAACGATGTCCTGATGGCAACAGAGAAAATTCACTGATCTGAAGACCAAATGCTCGCTGCTTTACGCAGGATTAGTTTGTTATATCAATAATAATACAGTTTTTCACAATTGCTAAAACACTAAACCCCATTCTCTGAACCCAGTGCTCAATGGCCTAAACCCATTTGTTGAATCAGTCACTCTTTTGGCAAAACCTTGAACAAGTTCAGGTAGTTAAAACACTGTTTGCAGATCTCATCCACTCTTTTTGCAAAACTCTAAACACATTCTCACTCACTAAAACACGGTTTGCACTGTGATGCACTTGTGTTGCAAAATACATGCAGCAAAAGTTAAACACAACTACAACACAGCTGTCATCTTTTACACACAATTCTGCACACTTGTTTCTAATGATGTGATCAA